CCGGCTCGCGGGCAGCGCCAGGAGTCTGCGGGCCAGGCTGCCGAGGAGGAGCAGCCCCGCCAGCCAGCCGCACCAAACCCAGCCCGGCTCCATGGCCGAGGAGGAGAAGTGAAAGAGGACCAGGCGGACGGAGGCGGATCACGTCTGCGCGCACCGGCGGGACTGGGCGCAAGCGAGCCCGGCGGCCCCGCTTTATCTAGGACCAGGAGGGAGGGAGGGAGGGGCTGCCCAGCCCTGCCTTGCCCGTCTGCCCTGCCCTGCCCTGCCCGTGGAAAACTCGCCTGGAGGCGGCGGCTGGGGGGATGCGCGCGGGAAGCCGCCAGCCGTGACAGCACTCGCTGCGCTTCCAGCAGCCCGTTTTTCCCTCACCGGGCGCCCCCCACCCCTAGCCAGGCTTCGCCGGTGGCCGGAGGGACGGTGAGGAGGGGACCGGAAAAGACTGGCTACCAAGTCCTCCCATCTCCGGTTCACAGGCAGAATCCAGTTTACAAGATGCTGTACCTGGAGGTCGAAAGTCGGTCGGTCGCATATTACAGCCCTCGCCACCCCAGCACTGGTCTCGAGGGGATGTGGGGCACAAGCAGCCAGAAAGGGCCCCGGGACCCTCCGTATTATCTCCACCCTCCAGCTTGAGCCTCCCGCAGCAGGGCAGGTGCCCCGGCAGGGCACGTCCTTGTTTATTTATCCTTGAGTGGTTCTGTATCCCTGCGCTGCAGCGGTTTACAAATCTTAAGTTGCAACAAGTTTTCAAAAACTGAGACTATGTCATGAAAACGAAACCAACAACACTCCCAACATCAAGAGCAGATCCTGAGGTTCAGCAAGCGACTTCCGTTTTGGAAGGGCTGCTGGAATGTATACCCTAGTGCCTCCCACTCCCACCCAGCCTCCCAATCTGCAGGAAGTCCAGAGATTAGAGGCAGCTCAAATCTCCCCCACTTTGAAACTGGGTTCCCGTGACCTTAGGCTCCCACCGAGAAGGTGCTGTTCCCTGTTCCCCTTCAAGGACCTGGAGCAGCAGGAGGTGATCCCCAAGGGCGAATCTGAGGGCTGGGGGGGGATCCTTTTCAGGATGCAAGACTCTCCTTTGCCCCCAATTGCACACCCCCTCCACACATAGGTCACAATTTGTTGGGATAACAGCAATCTTTCATGCATGAACACTAGGTATTAGTGGGAGGGGGCTTTGCAGCTTACTAGGATTGTCCTTTGACACTCGAGTGGTAGAGTTCTTTCCAAACCTCCGCATTTGAGGCAAGCCTCTTCCCCCTCCTCCTGTTTGTTTGTTTGCTTGTTTTGTTTGTTTGCTTTGCTTTGTTGATAGTCCTTCTTTTATCTCAGTTCACACTTGACGCAATAAGCATGGAGGGCCTCCTACATGATGGAGACTACATTTTCCCTCTTTTTGTTTCTTCTGACTGTAACTACATAGGGTAATTGTAAGTAAAGATGCCTTTTTTTCTATTTTAAACACTTGTAGAGTGTTTCTATTGATTCCCAATGTGGTATAGTGGATAGAGTGACAGACTAGGACTCAGGAGGCCTGGGTTCAAATCCCCACTCAGCCATGGAAACTTACTAGGGGGGTAGAATGGGTAAAACCACTCCTTAAATATCTCACTTACTTTGAAAGCCCTATTAGGGTCTCTATGTCAGTTCCAACTTGATAGCACAGAACACACATACAGAGTGATTCTATCATACAATAAGTGCTCATTTGTGTGTAAAAAGAAACCAGGGAGGTCTAGGTTCTGATGAGACCGAGCGGATTTCTCTATTCTTCTGTGTTGTTGTTTTTCTACCACACATTCTGCTAACTAAAAGGAATAACGAAAATTCCACCTTACAATTCACTTCCAACTGATGCCACGGGGGAGGGAGGGGGGAGGAGAAAGAGAACCAACCCCTACCCCAAGTGACTTTGCCCTCCTAACGGCCACTGTCCGGCGGCTGAGCAATGCCAGCCACTTCTTCTGGATCAGGGCCAGAGCTGGAGGAAGTGCAGAGGGCAGCCCTGTTCCTGCCCATCAGGCACCCTCCCAAGGCCACAGCCAGACCCCTGGCGGGAGTCCTGGAGGGAAGCCCATCCCAGCCTATTCCTCGTGTGTGAGCGCGCGCACATGTGTCGGCATGGGGGGGAGGGAGGGAAGGAGGGGCAGCCCCATCACCTCCTGCAGAAAACCAGCATTGGGTGTTTCCACCAGAAAACGGCATGAAGTGCGATGAACCTGGCAAAGAGAGGGGCACTCGGCACACGATACGAGCCGGTGGCGTGAGCAGAGCAATGCCTTCACCTACTTGGTCAAAGAGGTGCCAGCAATGGTTGGGCACACCTCGTTTGCTGTTAAGGGCACCGAGGGGGGGGGTCCTCAGGGCCAACTCCCAGCAGCTGTGAGGATACAGGGGGCCACAACACAGCGGCGGGGGGGGGGGGAAGAAGTGGAGCACTTCCTGAACAAAAGAACAAACGAATGAACAAACGAGCAAGCGGACCTCGACTCCTGCTCCCTCGGAAATCTGGAACCAAAGAGCCAGCCCAATGCGGCCTCTGACCTTTCAGATGGGGAATGGCTTCCTGGCCTGGAAGCAGCCCTTGAGGGTTGAACTCCCCATGTTTCTCCAAGGTGAGTTCTCCTCTTCACCTGCAAAGCCCCCATAGTTGCTGTAGCGAGTGTGGGTTTTCTTCTTCTTCTTCTTCTTCTTCTTCTTCTTCTGGCTGCAGCGTTTTTATGGTTGCACCTGGCAGAGTGGCTCCATCATCTGGGCTGGCAGGGCCAGGTGGAAGGAGGTCCACATTTGCACATGCGCCCCCCCCCTCGTAAATTGCCCCTCCTGCTGGGAGTGCAGGGTTCTGCTGAAAGGTCAGGTCGCCCACCCTGCCTCGGTCTGCCATCTTCTTGTGAACTGCACCACTAGGTTCCTGCCTGCAAGTGTGTGTGTGTGTGTGGAGACCCTGGCACAATGTATGCCATTGCCTGAACCGGTGTGGCCACCTGGAACAAATGCCGGCTTGGCAAGTTCCTGTAACTTCTCAAAGATCTCTGGCTTCTCTCGTTGACCAAATATGACTGAACTGGCAGGTTATTTCCTCCACAGAGCCAGTGCAGCAGGGAAGCCCGCCTGTCGCTTCTGAGGCTGCCGTAGCCTGCCAGGGCCAAATCTCCTCCTGGGGAAACCAAGGTGCAAGCTTGTTCCCTGCGGTCCGTCCTGTGCCAGGATCCACACCAGCATTTCCGGTTTGCAAGCTGCTGGGCTCTCTGCCAGTCCTGCCACACCAGGCTGTGTGCGCTGTCAGCTTCCCTCTCGCCACCTGGCAACCCTATTTCCTCATCCCCTCAAGGAAGGCCACGCACAGGTACAAACCAGGGGGAACCACCATGACAGCTAGAATCCTCTGCAGGCAAGCCACAGACGTCTCTTGCACTCATACGCCGCTCCGGCTGTTCAAAGAAAAAGCCCCGTTCTCTCTCTCTCTCTCTCTCTCTCTCTCTCTGTGCTTAAGAAGCAAAATCTTTCACAACTCTCATCATAACTAAGTGAGCAGCAGCCTCTTGGCTGATCTGTGACACAAACCTGACACCGCAATTTTCCTGGGGTGTGGTGTGGAGAAGCTGATCATGGTTTGCAGCTATTTATATAAAACAAAACAAAACAAAACCCTGAAGGGAAAATATGTTCACTTCCTCCCCCCCCCCATACACACAATTTGGCCACCCCAGTGCCCTCGCCACCATTCAGCCCTTCCAGGGTCTGATGAAGCCCACTGAGCTTCTGGGGTCAGTGGGTGAGGCTTGTGGCTTTCCTGAAGGGGTTCTCTACCCTGCTGCAGGCATTTGCCGCCCCCCCCGCCAATCCTGCCAAGTTGCCTAGCCTCTGCAGCCTAAATCACCAAACAAGCGCAAAGGCCAAAGCACCCCAGTCCACCAGGCTCTTTGTGGTCTCCTGCCTGGCAAGGCTGACTGGCGTGCTCACAGTCCAGCAGGCCCGACCTGCAAATGGAAGGAGACCCTGGCGCATGCCAGGAAGGGGACGGGCTCCTCCCCCCTCCTCTTCCACGACACAGGCTTCTAGGGCTCATCCTGCCATCCCAGGGAGGCCTGGGTCCAGCCGGGGGTTTAGCCAGCCTCAAAATGCCCCCTCCTCTGCCCAGCCCAGCCCAGCCTGTGGGCACCAGGTGTATTCAGGGCTCCAGTGGACTCTTGGGCAAGCCTTTCGGTGGACATGTTAGGTCAGGGGAAGGGAGATATTCCCCTGTGAACCAGCACTTCGGGGCTCTTTTCATGCCTCCAGAATTTTTTCTCCCACCTCCCAGTTCTGCATTTTGCCTGCAGGATGCTTGTAGGAGATTCTGGCGGGGAGGAGAGAGTCTTGGATCCCTGTGTCAATTCCCAAGACTTTTCTTTGCACCACGTGCTGTTCCCAGAGGTTCCAAGCACACAGTTAATCATCCTGAAATCTCTTTCCTGACCTCCAACTTATCTGACCATCAGCAGCAAAACTGAGAACCACAGTGAAGGTCAACTGGTCCCCCCTGGCCGCTGCAGTCACAGATTCCTGCCTGTCGCCTTCCCCTGTGTGGACCAAACCAAGAACCCTCCTACAAGGGGAGGGTGGGCGTCACTGTCTGGGCAGCATTTAGTGTATAGGGCTTTACGGGTGGCCTTCTGGGTTGTGCCTACTTTCTTGGGGTGCCTTTCCTCATGGAGCAGAACCGAATACACCTCTCTGTGGCTCTCCTTGTATTTCCTGTTCATGTTGAGCTGAGTTTCTGGAAGTCAATATGCAAGACTTGTGGATGTAAGGAACAGCTCAGTACCCTGGTCCCCAGCCGCCGCCGCCGCCGCTCCCCCCCCCCGAATCCAAGCAGGGGAACCAAAGCATCAGGATAAGCCACCTGATGTCCCTCAGCAAAGCCTGCTCTATTTCTAATAAAAGGATTTTATTTTCCTTCGTGTCCAACCGAGGGGTTTATGCTGATCTAAAATGGGGTGTGTGGGTGCATTAATGCAAAATATTGATGTATTTATTATTTATTTATTTATTGGACTTATATACCGCCCCATAGCGCTACAAGCACTCTCTGGGCGGTTTACAATTTAATTATACAGGCTACACATTGCCCCCCCAGCAAGCTGGGTACTCATTTTACCGACCTCGGAACGATGGAAGGCTGAGTCAACCTTGAGCCGGCTACCTGGAATTTGAACCCCAGGTCGTGAGCACAGTTTTAGCTGCAGTACAGCATTTTAACCACTGCGCCACGAGGCTTTAACCACTGCGCCACGAGATGTATGGAGTGCTAATCGAGCCCTCACTCTCTGGCCACTCTGTGGGCAGCCACGGGCAGGTGGGTGGCAGGGCCTCCCTCCATTTGCCTCACGGGCCTTTCCTGCGCGTGGGGCACTCAACCCCAAAGCCAGGCCGGTGTGACCTTGGCCACAACCTCCTCAGTACTGGAGCATCTCCTCTGGCACGCCGATGCTTGTGCAGGCATCTGGGTGGGTGGAGGAGGCCCCTCCCTTCACCTTCAGACGCCCTCTCTTGCCATCCTGCTGGCTCCATTCAGTTGGCCAAGTTGCACCCTCCCCCTCCCCCCCACAAGCATCTGTTGACAAAACACGCCCCCTCTGGGAGTGTGTGTGTGTGTGTGTGTGTGTTGTGTGTGTGTGGTGGGGGGTGAGGGGCACATCTATCCTCAAAACCAGTTAGTCTGACTAAAGCGCCGAAGGGGGGAAAGCGAGTTCAGGCTGTTTCTCTTGGAAAGGATCTCTCAAGGTCAAAGTCTTCTCCGTCCTCAGCTTTTGCACGTCCCACATTCTGCGAGGGCCCACAGAGCTGGGCAGCCTTTGCTGGCCAAGGAGTGTCCTTGTGGAAAACCACATCGCTACCCCTCCTGGCTGGTCACTGCCTCCCTCAAGTGGGGGATGGAGACGCCCCAGGCATCGGTGTTGTTAAGCATCCCCTTTCGGCCTGTCCCCCAGCCCCACGCCTTCCTTCGGCTTCTTGCCTCCGGCGGGAGGGCCCGGCCAGCCATTCGGGGAGGGGAGGAAGGCACCCTTGCCGTGGGACCAGACCTTATCTGTGGGCACAGCCCCTGCCCTTGGCTCTGTAGGAAAGCAAAGGCACCCACTGAGAATGGTGGGGCCACTGCTGAGGGGTAGCCGGGGCTAAAGCCGACGTGGAGGAGCCAAATCCTGCCTCCAGCGGCCTGGAATGGCCAGAAAGGGAGCTGGGGGAGGGGGAGCGATCCCTTGGGATGCTGCTGCCGTGGCCTCCGAGACAGAAGTTCCTCCTCGGATGGAGGGACCCCTGTCCGCAGGACAGGAGACGGAGACTGGAGGAAGGAGCTGCTGAGGTGCCCCTGTGAGGGAGAAGCAGAGCTCTGGAGCCGCCGGTTTATGGCCGTTTAGCTTTTGAGGGCGACCTCCAGAGGTTGAACAGGTACCGTCTGGATTTCTCACAGCTTCTACCTGGGTGAAACGTTACCGTCCGATTCCTCTGCTTGCTTTGCAGCCTCTGACAGATGCCTCATTCCTTCAGGTCTACTGCACATCCTGCCCTCTTAGCACCTCTGGGAGATCTTGTTTTTCACCTGTCCATCGGGAGCATTCGACAAGGCAGCAACGAACTGGGAGGCTGGAAAGGCTCTGCCGACAAAGGACTGACCACCGAGGGAGGGTAGAGAGGGGGGGAAAGGTGGGGCAGGGACTCCTGGCCTATTTGGGAGAGCGGGGGGGCACAAGGAGGAAGCTGCCATGCTGGAGCGCTCTCGCAGGGCCCCACGTGTCCCAGGGCTGTCATCTGACTCTGCCCTGGGGAACTGGGGCAGTCAGGCCCCTGCCAGTCCCTTTCGCACCTTAGCGCATTCTCAGGCTGTTTCCTTGGAAGGGAAACCCCTCCGGGAAGGGAGGCTTGCATTCCCTGACAACAGCCCCGAGGAGGAGGAGGAGGAGGAGGACCAGGTGACGGGCCAACTTCCAGACCAGGGAGGTCAATGGGAAGGTGCATCAAGTGGGGGGAGGGGAAAGGGACAAAGCCTCACCTGTGCAAATCTGAACTTCCACACCTTGCAAAGAAGCTCTGCGCCTGAGACTGCAGCGGGCAGGTGGGTTCATTCCCTGGGGGCGAAAGAGGGAAGCCAAGGGAGTTGTAGTGACTGGATGCTTGGCTCTCCCATGCATTAAATGCCATGGCTTCTCCATGATTTGGGGGGTGGGGGAAGGGAGTTCAGGCTGGGGAGGGGGCTAGCAGGCTTCTGTCTGGTTCCTTCTCTCTCCCACTGCCCCATGGGGAGGGGGCATCTTCTGTTCCTGATCTCTGAGGATAGCAGGGCATGCCAACCTAACCAAACCATCCAAGAGGAAGAGGGAGCATGGAGGGTCTCCAGGAAGCACCCGGGAATGGCAGAATCCCCTCTGAGTCCCCTGATATGGCCCTCAGTGTCTGACCCCCTAAAACCAGCACAGAAGGGGAGTGGAAGAGGAAGGCTGAGGCTGGCGCTGGTTGCAAGCAGAGAAAGTAACTTACAGCAAACGCAGGCACCTCCTGACCAGAGTTGGAGGCTTCCCCCCCCCCACGCCCCCATTCAGGAGCCATTCCAGAAAACACTCCTGCAGAGGTGTCGCCTTCTTTTCTCCCTGCGTCGGGCTGATCATTCCCACCCTGCATCCAGACACAACCTGCAACTGACTTTTCGGGCAACTACAGATGTCCGTGGTTTGGGTTTCCTTGTTGCTCAGATTTCTGAAAGTGCTTGATTAAGGTTCTTAGGTGGAACATTTTGTCAAATAGCAGAAGACTTTGAAGACTTCTGCCTCAGGCTTCCAGGCTGGCCAGTGGAAAGGAGCCCCATGCCTTTGGGGTGGCTGAGTTCAACAAGCGAGCCCCACCAGACACAGGGGGACATCCTTCTGAGTAGACACAGGCAGGAGAATACTGTCACTAGCTGGTGTTCCCTAGACCAGTGGTCCCCAACCTTGGGCCTCAAGATGTTCTTGGACTACAACTCCCAGAAGCCTTCACCATCACCTCTGCTGGCCAGGATTTCTGGGAGCTGAAGTCCAAGAAGATCTGGAGGCCCAAGGTTGGGGACCACTGCCCTAGACACTTGCAGAAAGGTCCAGGGTGGGTGGGTGGTCTACCTCCCCTTTCATTCCACCAAAACCCCACAAAGCTCTTGTAGCATTTTTGCAACCAACAAGTTTTACCTGACAGGTGTTTCCATGGACAGGAGGCTCTGAGAAAATGGGCTGCTGCCCATGAAAGCTCATGCCAGTTTTACCCAACCCCCTCTGTGTGTGAACATAATAATTCATCAAGATGCACTAATTGATTGCCCTTTCCTCAAGTGGCTGAGGCTGCCGGTTTTGAGCCCTTGGTCAGGAAACGCAACAGATACTATGAACCAGTTACCAGTTCAACAAAGGGAAGGGGGGCCCCAGTCTGGCTCACAGAGGTGAGTGCGGGGGCCAGGAGGCACCCCAGAGAGGAAGTGCAGGGCCTTTCCTCCCATCTCCTCTTTTCAAGCCCCCCCCCGGCAAAGCTTTGACCTGTCTTTTACACCAAAATATTGGGCACCTTTCACAAAATCCAATGTGTTCAGCTGTCAAAGGGAGCAAAATAAGGGAGTCCCTGATAACAGCCAGGAGTGCCCCCCATCCCACCCAGAGAAGACAGCTAGGTGGGGGGGGCTGCCTGTGGCTGGAAGGGCCGCCATCTCCACAGCCCTCACCTGCAACCGCCCCCCCTGCACCGTGCCAACTGGGTGCTTCTGGAGCTTGTTTTTGCTCTCCAGTTCCTCCTCCCTCCCTTCTCCCTCTTGAGGAGGGCCAGAGCCTGACCTGGCCTGACACCCCCGGCAGGCACAGGGGCCGTCTGTCCAGTGAGCAGAGCCTGCCCCCATCCCTCGCCTCCGGCTCAGTTGGGCCTGCAGGGCAGGGTGCTGCCGCCTGTCAGCCAGCCAAGGGGAGGCATGCTTGTCATTCCTGTCCGTCCGTGTCCCCCACCCACCCCCACCCCGCTTTGCACCCTCAGGAGCCAGTCAGCGGCCCCCTCCACACAGAGGCGCCCAGGTCACCCGAAGAGCCAGCTGCTGCTCCTGCTCCTCTCTCCCCAGTGAGGTGTAGCCAAGAGGGCTGCACCAGTGGAAATCTGTGGCCCAGCCGTGGGCAGCTTGGCAGTGCTTCCCCAGGGAGGTGTGTGGAAGTGGACCGGGGCGGGGGGGACAGAGAGGTCCTGTGCAAGTCCAAAACTGCAGGCCTGAGGTGTAAGACTGCCACGAGTCCCCCCCCCCCGACTGCACCCACGTCAGGCTGCCCTGTTTGGAGATGGAGGCTCCCCTGAGGAGCCTGAGGCACCAAGGCCAGCCCCCTCCCTCCCCTGGATCCTAGCCAGGGATCGTGGCCCACAGCCCTCTTCTGAGTTGTGCCCACTGGCTCTTTGAAACGGGTTTGTGGCCACCTTTTCCTGCCTCCCTCTGTTGTCAGGGGCGGAGGGACACTCATGTCCTGGGCGCTCCACTCTCCCCTTCTGTTCCCTGCCCCATCACTAGGTATAATCATATAATCGTGGCATGCACACATATGTTGCAATATCATCTCTGGAAACAACAAATAAATAAATTGAACACGGCAGTTGGGGCAGAACGACACAGCCAAGCAGCTGTTAGCCACTGTTCTTCCTCTTGAATCAGTCACCTCCAACTGGTCTCTCTTCCCCTGCTCCCCCCCCACGCCACCTCTGGAGAATCCCGTGGAGCTGGCTCCTTTCCCCCTCCCCCCACGCTCTGATGGCACCCAGCACATCTCTGTACATCAACCAGGCCCCCACGCACGGCTTCCTCGTTGTTATTATTAAGGTGGCAGGAGTGAGCCTCGATTTAGAGGAGGTGTGCTGGAGAATAGAGTTTTTCTCAGGTGACTCCCCAATTATTTTATTGGCAACCTCTGTCTCTCTCTCTCTCTCTCTCTCTCTCCATAGCAAAAGCAGGTGGTTGAAGACCAGCAGGACTGGTATCAAAACGTGATTACCAGAAACCAGAGGATGGCCCTGGCAGGTTCAAGGGGCAAGCGGCAAGAGCAAACCCACCCGAGCCAAAGGAAACCAAGACCCAGCCCGCCCCAAAGGACGGGGAGCCCGCCTGGGGCCTCCAGCTCTTCTGGCGCTGGTGGAATGTGGTTTGTCCGCTGCGAGAGAAAAACAAGAAACCCAGTGACCCCCTCCTCCTTGCACTGGGCGCACCGAGAGAGCCAGCCACTGGCTTCCTTGAGCCCCTTCCAGTTTACAGTCATGGGGTGGGATGAGAAACCGGACGTCCCAAAAATGCTGGGTGAGGAGAAGGGGAAACAAACTGCCTCCATCGCCTAGGCTTGTATGTTGCAGGCCTCAGGATCACAATTTCTCAGTGGACGCCATTCCACTTGCCAAGTGCGCCTACAACCCTGTCTCCTTTGTTGATTCACACCCAACTTTTGCGTTGTTCAGCTACAACAATCCTTTCCCAGTTATAATTATTATTTTTTTAAAAAGCCCCCCTACCTCAACAGTCACCCTCCAACACAACACAGACCCTCTTCATCTGGGCCTCCAACCCCATAGATGGCAACGGGAACCAGTTCTCGCTGCTCTCGGAACCGACTCGGAGACCCTGATGGGGCTTTCGAGGCAAGCGAGAGAGTTAAAGAGTGGTTTTACCAACCCCCCCCAGCCCTGCCAGTGAGCTTCCACAGCCAAGCGGGCATTTGAATTCAATCCTAATCTACCCCTCTCTCTGCTATACACCACACGCTGTGCCTTCTGGGACAGGCTGCCCTGTAGCGATGACCCTGAAGAACAGAAGCCAGTTCTTCCCATCCAAAGCTGGTGGTTGAGCTGGCAAGAAGCATTTTGTTGGTCCTTTATTTCCAATGGAAAGCTGAAGGTGACCAAATGCCACTGCCACCCTCTCTTGGCCCCCACCACATTCTCCTCTGTGTAGACAGAACGGCACTGAACGCCTGGGCTCTGTGAACTGTAGCAAGGATGTCCTGTAAACCTAACGTAGGGTACTTTCTCGATTGACACCCCCCCCCCTTTTTAAAGGGAAACAATCCCTCTGATGCGCACTTTCATGCTGAATTGTTCTGTTCTGGCCGTTCTGCACAGTCAAGGGCTCTCCCTCCTAATGGCAACGCCATGAACGAGGGACTGCCAAAATGTGTGGCTCCAGCCCTGCTCAATGAGCTCTCCAACTCATCGTTCGAGCCTGGTTCGATTACAGCCAAGGGGTACGTGACAAAGGAAGAGGCTGGAAAGGGAACATCCTCCGTCCAGGCCGTCCAGTGTGTGTAGGGTCAACAAGGAAGAAGGTGGGGGCCAGCTCTTCCCACCCAGCCCCGCCCTGGCTGGAAATGGCAAAAAGGAGCTGGAAGGACAAAACTAAGCAGGAAGGCGAGCAAGGGAGAGGAGGGTGGACAGAGCCGGAACAACACCCCCCCCCGTGCCTAGGAAACAAAGCCGCACGCCACACATCTCAAAACACACACGGATCTGGCCCGAGGAAACAGCGGCTCCACGTGGCCGGCAAAGCCACTTGCCCGTTAGCGCTGGTGAGGAAAGGTGGCGGCCACCCTACCTCTCTTCGCACCACCTGCAGCCGCCACCGCCAATGGCGCCACCTGCAGGTAG